TACTCTGACTTACTTACGCTTAAGTAAAAGAACACACACATCTAAGAACACAATAGGCTCATCTTCAAGAGCAAGTTAAAATCTTTTCTTTATTTGCTAAGAACTAGTGTGTAACTTTAGATTGTTTAGATACGTTTTATTTACCTTATCTTTCCGCAAACAATCTTGTAAAATCTGTTTTCTATATCAATATATATTTTATATTTTAAAAGTTTACTATGCTTTTATTAATCCCCCTTCTACAAAATGTTATACACATCTTGTAGACCCTAATGGGACCAACACTCTTACACTTTGTCAAACGCATGGTTATCCAAAACCTCTGGCCATAAGCCAAATTTTCCCCTTCTCAATAACATCATTACTATTATTTCCAATAAGAGCAACATTTCTGAGTCCTCAAATCACAAAGAAATAAGAACTCAAAACTATTACAATCTTAAGAGACAAAACAGTAAGAGTTATAATAATTGTCACACAGACAAATGTCACCCATATATCCAAAGGTACACCTCTCCTTTATATGCCACCCTTATATCTGAAGGTACACCTCTCCTCGATATGCCACCTTTATCCCATGGAACACCTCTCCTTGATATGCCACCCTTATTTCCTCATCAAAATCTACAAATTATTTCCAATCAATACAGACCGAAGTCACAACCGTCTTGAAGGAACATCCTCTATAGTTTTAACCAATAACAGTTTCAAAACAGTTCTATTTCAAAACTTTGAAACTCAAGAACCAGCAGTTCTTTAATATAATTTTCCAAACTCAATATTCTTTAATCCTTAAAAATAGGATATTATCTTCAACAGTTTAAAAGAAGCAGAATCTTCTTTATATTTCAAGTACAGTTTTAAAAACCAGATTCATAAACTCAAATTAACATGATAAAACAGTTTCTCTTTTTATCCATAAAATCATCAACTGGAATCTATATATTTCGAATATCAACATATAAGAAATTTTAATAACAAAACTCACCTTATGCACATATTTGAAGATAGTTCACACAACAAAGCTTCAAATAATCAACACGGAAACTTCAAGTCACTTTCAAATCACCTTTTATGTAAGTTTTCTCTCAAGAACATACACTCACCGCCACTACTTCTTTTTCATTTACCCATTAGGTAAAAATAAGATAAGATTGATCTTATCTCTTATATATATATATATATATATTATCAAAGGCGGTGTAAAGTTTTAATATTATAAAACTCATAAGGCGGTGGAGGTTTACTATTTTTAAATCTCTCCTCGTCCTCCTCCTTAACCAAGAATATGCATACACATATATTTTAACAATTCTCATGTATGCACAGTAACACATTCGCATATATATATATATATATATATATATGATCCATGCATTTACTTATGCATATAATCACCCTTATAAATAAATATGCACATAATCACATAAAGATTACCTCAACCATTGCTACCTTAAATCTCAGCTATCACATTATCTACCCCACAAAAGAATTCCGTCCATAATTCATTTAATCAAAAAACCAAGGGTATCTGATTCTCATTTCAGACTCTAACTCCCATGTTGCTTCGGAACCCTTGTGAAAACGCCACTGTACTTTTACCAAACTAATTTCTTTGTTCCCAACACCCTGATTTTTCGGTTAATTAGAGCTTCTGGTGTTTCCACAAAGTTCAGTTTACTGTCTAGTTTAAGTTCTGGAAGCGGTACTGCTAGACGTGGATCAACTAAACATTTCCGCAAACTTGACACATGAAAAGTGTTGTGAATTAAGCTGAGCTCTTCCGGTAGTTCTAACTGATAAGCCACTAGCCCAACCCGTTTGCAAATTTTAAATGGCCCAATATATCTCGGACTGAGCTTATCTTTATTTTCAAATCTAATAACACCTTTCCATGGAGAAAGTTTTAGCATCACAAAATCACCCACATAGAATTCAATTGGTTTTCGACGTTTATCAGCATAACTTTTCTGTGGTTCTGAGTTGTTTTGATTTCTTCACGGATTTTTTCAATCTTTTCTGAAGTTACTTGAACAATTTTGGGACCTGTCAACTGTCTCTCACCCACCTCATTCCAACATAACGGCGTTCGATATTTACGTACATACAAAACCTCATACGATGTCTCTTGGATGCTGGAGTGATAGTTATTATTATATGCAAACTCAATTAATGGTAAATGATCCTCCCATGATCCCCCAAAGTTCATAACATATCTTCAAGAGTCTGATTAGTTCACTCACTTTGCCCGTGTGTTTGTGGATGATATGTTGTCCTTAATCGAAATTGAGACCCCAAGGCCTTTTACAAACTTTCCCAGAACTTTGAAGTAAAGCGGCTATCTTTGTCAGAGATGATGGATAGTCAGACACCGTGTCTGGTTACAATTTCCCTGATATAAATTTGAGCCAACCTTTCTAAAAATTATTCTTCTCTTAATGGTAGAAAATGTGAAGATTTAGATAATTGATCCACAATTACCCAGATTGCATCATATCCTTTTGGAGTTCGGGGTAATTTCATGACAAACTCCATCGTAATATGATCCCATTTCCATACAAGAATCTCCAAAGATTGGAGATTTCCGTAGGTTCTTTTGTGTTCGATCTTAACTTGCAGACATGTTATACATTGTTCCACATACCTTGCTATGTTTTTCTTTAATCCGAGCCACCAATAGATAGGTTTTAGATCTTTATACATTTTATTGGTATCTGGATGAGTAGAATATCGGGACTTATGACTTTCATCCAAAATTGCTTCCCGAATATTCCCACAACATGGCACCAAAATTCATCCTTGAAAGCATATAATTCCTTCATCATTCGATTCCAGGGTGGAAATCATTTTACCCAATCATTATGGCTTCATATGATCCTCTTTAACATCTTCCTTCGGACATTTCAAATTTTCTTTATGAAGATCAGGATTTAAGTTTATTCTCATTTCTAAGGTTTTAATTGTTCCACTCCTTTATTTTCTACTCAAAGCGTCAGCTACCACGTTGGCTTTTCCTGGGTGATAAAAGGATTTCTCAATCGTAATCATTAACAAGTTCAATCTGTCGACGCTACTACATGTTTAAGTCTTTTTGGTTGAACAGATGTTGTAGACTCTTATAATCGGGGTAAATCTGACACTTTGTTCCCAATAGATAATGTCTCCATATTTTCAATGCAAATACCACTGCTGCCAATTCCATATCATGTGTTGGATATTGTTTCTCATGATCCTTCAGCTATTTGGATGCATATGATATTACTTTTCCTCTTTGCATCATAACACAATCCAAACCTAGTTTTGAAGCATCGCTATAAACAACAAAGTTTTTTGACTCATCTGGTAAAGACAATACTAGGGCACTACAAAGATGATCTTTCAATAATTGGGAGGCTTTTTGTTGTTGTTCTTCCCACTGAAACTTGATATTCTTCCGAGTCAATTTGGTCAATGGCACAGCTATTTTGGAAAAATCTTGAATAAATTTACGGTAATAGCCTACCAATCCCAGAAAGCTTCGAACTTCAGAAGGGTTTCTTGGTGCATCCCATTTCTCAACATCCTCTATTTTTGTTGGATCCACTTTTAGCCTTGCTTCTCATATAACATGACCTAGGAACTGAACCTCTCTTAACCAGAATTCACACTTGGACAATTTTGTATACAACTTTTCTATTTTTAGAAGTTCGAGTATCAAACGGAGATGTTCTGCATGCTCCTCTTCGGTTTTAGAGTATATGAGTATATCATCAATAAATACAATGATGAATGTATCAAGATATTCTTTACATACCAGATTAATTAGATCCATAAAGGCTGCAGGTACATTAGTTAAACCGAATGTCATAACTAAAAATTCATGATGTCCGTACCTAGTTCGAAAAGGTGTGTTGGCAATGTCCTCTTCTTTGACTTTGAGCTTATGGTATCCTGATCTTTAATCAATCTTTGAGAAATAACTAGCTTCACCAGTTGATCAAACAAGTCATCGATCGTTGGTAAAGGGTATTTATTTTTTACCGTCAATTTGTTCAACTCCCTGTAATCTATACACATCCCATATAGACCCATCTTTCTTTTTAACAAAAAGGACCAGAGCTCCCCATGGTGAAGTGTTTGGGTCTAATGAATCATTTGTCAAGCAGATTTTTTAATTGAGTAACCAATTCTTTTAGTTCTGATGGAGCTAATCGGCATGATGCTTTAGCTACTGGTGCTGCCCCAGGTATAAGATTAATTCTAAATTCAACATCCCTGTCTGGCGGAAAGCCAGATAAGTCTTCTAGAAAGACTTCTGGATATTCACTAACAATTGGAAACAGTTCTTGCTTACTTTTTTCTTTCTTTGCATCAATTGCATAGGCCAAATACCCCTGACACTTTTTCTGAATACACTTTCGGGATTTTAATACAGATAAATAACTGTTATGATGATTTTAACAGTCACCATAAATAACAACTGACCCTCTGTCTGGTATGGTAATTCTGATCAATATTCTATTGCAGACAATACTAGCCTGATTTTCTGCCATCCAATCCATTCCCAGTACTACATCAAATTCTTTCATCGGCATTGGCAACAGTCGAATTGGTTACTCACATCCCTCAATAACAATTGCACAGTCATTGGATACATAAGCAACAGATTCTTGACTATTAGCAGTGTAAACTACTAATTTATCATCAAGTGGCACAAAATTCATGCATGCATATTTGGCAAATGATGGTGATACAAGCGAAAAAGTTGCACTTGAATCAAACAACACCTTAGCATATAGAGAATACGAGAAATGTACCTGTTACTACATCTGGTGTAGTTTCGGCCTCATTTTTAGTCATCTGATATGATCGACCCCGCGCCCCTCCTTGGCCTCCTCTACTTATATTTGGTCTTCCACAGGTACTTGAGGTATTACTACCCATAGTCAACTGTGGAGTCTTTAATTATGGGCAATTAGGTTGAAGATGATCCGGTCATTGAAACATCATTTAGAAATTGGTCAGTTCCTTGACAAGTGGCCTGTCTCGCCACACTGATAACATTTCCTTAAATCTATTTTACAGTCGCCTTCATAAATTTGATAACATCGGGGATAGGCTTTTCCATTAAATTTTTGAATAGGTTTATCACCATATTTCACAAATTTCGGTCCTCGGTAACCTATTGAAGGTCCTTCCCATTTTCTCTTTTCAGTGAATTTTCCTTCTTCCTGCATATTCTTATTCCTCTGAGTAACCTCTGCTGCATCCACTGTCAAAGAAAATGTAGCAGGATTCATGGCAATCACAAATTCCTGAATAGATGGTTTTAAACCCCAAATATATCTTTCTACTTTTCTTGATTCAGATGAGATATAATGCTTAGGAAATCGAGAATATTCAATGAACTTCTTTGTATATTCCCGAATAATTCCTATACCTTGTTCCAGTTTCAAGAAGTCTTCTTCCATCTGTCTTACAGTTGCCTTTGGACAAAATTTCTTTTAAAATTTGTTTACAAATTCTGCCCAAGATAACGTTTGTAGAATATCTGTTATGGCTAATGATTCGACTTCCCACCATAACAGTGTGTTAGACTTTAATATAGAAACAACAAATTTAACTTTATCTGCCTCTGAGCATCTGATAGTGTTTAATACAGACTCTATTTCCTTAATCCAGCACATGGCGTTAACTGGATCTCGTTCTCTAGAAAAGGTTGGAGGTTTTCAAGTTAGAAACATTTTGATATCTTCTTCTTTGTTGTTTAAAACTGGAACAGATGGATTTATCTCAACTCTTTCAGTTTCAGTTATGGCAGGTATCCCCATGATAGATGTTAATGTTTCTCTTAACTTTCCCATTTCCTCATATAACATATATCTGCTTACATACTCTGGCTAGGGTATATGTTCTTGATTAACATTCTTAGAGTTAGATTCTCCATGATTAGCATGAGTCTTAGATTGACTATTTCTGCCTCTAGCTTGTCCTCTTCCTCTGCCTCTGCCTCTATTTCCACCTCTGCCTCTACCCTCTGATGTATTAATAGGAACAACAGTAGGGGAATCCTCTATATCATTAGGATTAGGCCGGGTGATCCTTTCAGATTTTCGTGATCGGCTAATCATCTGCAGATTTCAATGTTAATAATCATGTATTCATGTTCCTAAATATAATAAAGTGTCCAAGTTCAGTTATGTACCTGTAAATTCATAATTACATTGGCCAAATGTAATTCGAATGTACCTTACACACTGATCCCTTAACTTATCATATTTATTTCCAATGGTGCTAACTATGTCCGGGACCCTTAATATGCAGTGAAACAGTTTAAGTCTAGGCATCATGCGTTGAATACCTAAATCCCTTAAACTCAGGCTCTGATACCACTTTTGTAACACTCCACATCTCACATTGCATATAACACATAATTCATTCAAAAAAATACATGTTTTACACCACTTAGGTCCCATAGTACAAGAAACTAAAGTACAAATTACACAATCCAAAAATTCCAAAATACAAGTTCTTGTACAACATAACATATAACTTCAAAGCTAAACACATCTATAGGCTGATCTTCACATAGTTATGCTCATAGGGAAAACAAATTACATTTTCCCTTTCCCTTTACTATCATGGTACTCAACTGTTCCTGCAATACATATTTGAAAGACAAAAATAAGGTTTAGACCTGTAGGTCTAGTGAGATCCATTTTCCTTCTATTTGCATGGTGAAGATCACCAAAACATTATTTAAAGTCAAACATTCATATAATCAGAACATAAACTCATAATTCACAATGACCAGCATCTCTCTGGTTGTAAAGACCATACTTGACTTAGAAAGGTTTTATTCATCATACAGCAGCGCCAGAGCCCCTCTGGTTCCATTGAACAGAGCTTCTAGTCCTACCAACCAGAGCTCCTCTCAAGTTAACATTCATACAGTTACAGTCACGTACATAGAATGAATGTAAATTTTTTTTCAAGTATAAATGATTATAAATTAAAAGCATATATATGACCAGAGCCTCTGGTCCTACTAACCAGAACCTCTGGTTCATATGCAAAGACCAAACAGAGCCCCTCAGGTCAAACTGGGAAAACCAACCAGAGCCCCTCTAGTTTGTCTTTCTTTGTTGAAGTCATTTTATATGAATAATTTTCTAAGTTTAAATAGGAGTAAGAATTTTTATGATCATTTTGTAATACAACTTATGACACAGAACCTCTATACAATACATACAGAGCCTTTGGTCCAGGTAAAACTTTTGTAAATAATGATTTACCATAAAAGAGATTAACCAGAGCCCCTCTGGTTCTACTCGAGGAATGACCAGAGCTTCTCTAGTTCCTTTCAAGGAACAACCAGGGCCTCTCTTGTTCCTCATAACTCGTACACTTCATCAAACTCATGGTTATCCAAAACCTCTGGCATAAGCCAAAATTTTCCCTTCTCAATAAATCATTACTATTATTTCCAATGAGAGCAACATTTCTGAGTTCTCAAATCACAAAAAAATTAGGACTCAAAACTATTGCAATCTTAAAAGACATAACAGTAAGAGTTATAATAATGGTTACACATATAACTGCCACCCTTATATCCAAAGGTACACCTCTTCTTGATATGCCACCCTTATATCCGAAGGTACATATCTCCTTGATATGCCACCCTTATCCATGGAACACCTCTCCTTGATATGACACCCTTATTTCCTCATCAAAATCTACATATTATTTCCAATCATGACAGATCGAAGTCACAACCGTCTTGAAGGAACATCCTCTATAGTTTTAACTAATAATAGTTTCAAAACAGTTTTATTTCAAAACTTTGAAACTCAAGAACCAAATATAGTTTTCCAAACTCAAAACCCTTTAATCCGTAAAAATAGGATATCATCTTCAACTTTTAAAAGAAGCAGAATCTTCTTTATATTTCAAGTACAGTTTCAAAACCCAGATTCGTATACTCAACTTAACATGATAAAATAGTTTCCTTTTTCATCCATAAAATCATCTACTAGAATCTATATATTTTGAATATCAACATATAAGTAATTTTAATAACAAAACTCACTTTATGCACAAATTTGAAGATAGTTCACACAACAAAGCTTCAAATAATCAACACGGAAACTTCTAGTCACTTTCAAATCACTTGTTATGTAAGTTCTCTCTCAAGAACACATACCCACTGCCACTACTCTTTTTTCTTTTAACCAGCAAGTAAAAATAAGATTAGATTGATCTTATCTCATATATATATATATACTTATATATATATATATATATATATATATATATTACCAAAGGCGGTGTAAAGTTTTAATATTATAAAACTCACTAGGCGGTGGAGGTTTAATATTTTTAAATCTCTCCTCCTCCTCCTCTTTAACCAAGAATATGCATACACATATTTTAACAGATCTCATGTATGCACAGTTGCACATCCCCATATATATGATCCATGCATTTACATATGCATATAATCACCTTAATAAATAAATATGCACATTATCACATATTCACATAATAATCACATAAAGATTACCTCAACCATTGCTGCCTTAAATCCCGGTTATCACATTTTTTTCCGTTTCTTTGTCCCAACCTGCTCTTTGAATTCTTCGATTTTTTATTGACTTCATCCGTTTATTTATTCAACGCACAATTACAAATGAGACAGGACTTCCATAGAATCCCCATTCACATTCACATTCGATTAGTAGGGCAAATTAGATATATCTTTAGCTCGTGTATAACTAGTCAATATCTAATATCACATATACATGTCTTTCTTCCACAATGTAAACGAGCTCTTCCTTCATCTTCAATTCAATTGGATTTGATAAGGATGCGTCTAACCCTTGACAAGAGTTAACTTATAGCCATTCAATTCCATATACCTAGTTCGACCTCCCCTGTACGAACCATTTACGAATCCCTTTTTTCTATATTATCCTTTCCCTCTTCTTGATCATTATCCCGCAACCTAAATGGATAAATTTATTAGGCCGAATCGTAGCATAAAAATTGATTTGGTTGATCTAAGTTCATACAATTTATTATTTCTTAATATTTTCGTTTGGTCAATCATCGAAAAAAATCAACTGTAACAGGGAATCATTCTATAGAACATCCTTTTTTTATTTAATTACACGTCGTAATTCCACAATGCTTCTTCGTCAAATTACGACTCCGAATAGGTAATATTCGGATTCGATGACCAATCTAAACTGAACATTCATTGAGGGGAAGGTATGATTATGATATAAATGGACCAAACGAGAATTTTAGGAAAAAGATCTTTGAGATCTCTTTCCTTTTTTTTTTTCAATTCTCTACTCTAATATCATTATTGTAATCTTTATTGTAATCTTTTTTTCTATTACTCTAGATCGTTTATAGTGTAGTTGAATATTTTCTTTCCTTTAGTCAATTTTTTTAGCCACGCACACATTGTCTTAGGTTAAACTAAGAAAAGACAATTTAGAAAACTAGTCAATGGTGGCCCTCCATGGATTCACCTATATAAGTCGTGGCTAAAGTTGCAAAAATAAGAGTTTGAATACCACTTGTAAATAATCCAAGGAACATGACAGGGATAGGAACCACTGAAGGTACTAAAGAAACAAGAACAACAACTAATAATTCATCAGCTAATATATTTCCAAAAAGTCGAAAACTAAGGGATAGGGGCTTTGTGAAATCTTCTAAGATGTTAATAGGTAAAAGAATTGGAGTTGGTTGAATAAATTTCCCGAAATAACCTAATCCTTTTTTGGTAAGATCCGCATAGAAATATGCCACTAACGTGAGCAAAGCCAAAGCAACAGTAGTATATATATCATTCATGGGTGCGGCTAACTACACATGAGGTAATTGTATGATTTTCCAAGGTAAAAGGGCGCACCAATTAGAAACAAAAATAAATAGGAACATAGTTCCAATAAAAGGAACCCAAGGACCATATCTTCTCCAATTTGAGTTCTACTCACATCTCAAATAAATTCAATGACATATTCGAAGATATTCTGACCGCCGGTTGGAATGGTTTGTGGGTTCCAAAGGGCTAGAGTGCTTGAACCTAATAAGATAGCAATTACAACCCAAGAAGTAATAAGTACTTGGTCGTGGACTTCGAAAACCCCATATATTTCATATATGCATTGACTCAAAGTCATTTTCATTAGTTTTAATAGTCTTTCTTTTTATATAGATATAGAAAAAAAAAGACAAGAAAAAATGGATTTTGTAAGTTATCCATGCATCCTTTATTCCTACAAAATACCATACGAAATAGAATTCTTAGACTTAAAAAGGGATATAAATAGATTATTTTATTGGTTCTTCCCAAAAGAATGATCTATTTTATTTGACTGATGGGGACAACAAACAATTAATTATAACAAATAAAAAATATCCAAATCTAAATAATAACTAAAATATAGAAGAGTAACTAAAATAACGAAAATGTATCGTCTTTTATTCGAAATGTGTAATGATCTTCAACCAATTATGCGCTTCAATATAATTACCAGGTTTAAGTGTTATAGCTTGTTTCCAATACTCAACGGCGTGGTCGAACCAAACCTCCGCAATTTCATAATCCCCCTGCCGAATGGCCTGCTCTCCCCGGTCGGAATAGGTGGGTTAATTCCTTCCCTTAGAACCGTACTTGAGAGTTTCCTACCTCATACGGCTCGGCAGTCAACTCTTTTTTATCCCATTTGAATCTATCATATCTAACTGGATAAGATTTCTCGTAGATCTATCCAATTTTTTCGGGTTAAGGAAAAGAAGTTAATAAAATGAGTTTCAAACTTAAATCTTAAGTTTGGATTAAAAATCCGGTTTATTTTAGTTTTATCTTGTCTCCCACCTTGAGAAGAATAAAACATAGACATTTCTTCTATCATTATAATTTTCTCAATGGTAACTATCTCAGTTTCATATCATATAGAAATTTATATATAATTTTTTTAAAAGACTTCCTATCTTTGGGATATGATCCTACACTGCTGCTCAATACCTTAGTGGATCGACTCTATTACATAAGTGGATTCCTAACTTTTGTCTCACATCATGACATAAGTATGCAATTATTATTGTATCGGCCCAAAACCTCACTAATTAATCTTTACGGTGCTTACTCTATCAATTAGATCCTTTACCCATAGAATAAAAYAGCTAGGCATATCTATTTCTTCATATTTCAACTTCTATGAAGTTYCTTTCTTTTCTACAGCTGATAAAAATCGTTGTTTTCGACGATGCATATGTAGAATGCCCATTTGGCTAGTATTTACTAGCGAATTTGATCTTTCTTTACTTTTTTCTTTCTATAGTGGAGATAGTCGCACGTAATGACAAATCATGGCCATATTATTAAAAGCTTGTGGTAAGAATGGGTTTCGTTCGAGCGCTCGAAAATAATATTCCAAAGCTTTCGTATGTTCTCCGTTACTTGTGTGGATATGTCCTATGTTATAGAGTATATAACTTYGGTCATAGGGATCAATTTCTAGTCGCATAGTTTCATAATAATTCAGTAAAGCTTCTGCATAATTTCATTCGGATTGAGCTGACATCTGTTACGGTCGTCATTCAATTCAAAGAATCTCCGTTATAGAACCGTACATGAGATTTTCATCTCATACGGCTCCTCCCTCATGTGCATAATGAGAAAATTATAAACAAGATGAAAATCTTCTCATTATGAACCGAGTAGGGCTAGTGTTTTTACAAGAAATCTCTAGCCATCCTTCCTGCAAGAGATCTTTTTCTTAATATCAAACGCATTGGTACTAGAGAGAAATGATAACTCCAACAATTTCTTTCTTCTCAACGCTTCCTAATTTCCAGGAATTAGTCACTTCAACAACCGTTTATGGTTATACGGGTATCCAAAATACAAACGAGATGGATGTTTGTTGTCCCAACCATTCTTTTAGTCCCAAGCCTACTAAGGAATAATTTATAACAAAGTTTTTGTGTTGTTGATTCCTAGGTGTAGTGCTTATTTCCCTCTGCTGCCTATTGGTACAGGTGAACTAGGATTGACTTGTAATACCGAACCTACATGTATAACCTTTCGCTCAATACTAGAATCGAGAATTGAAAAATAGCAACTGAGGTATCATTAATCGAGGATATATGACAGAAGGAATTGTTCTATTTCCAAACATTACCTTCAACAAGCGTAGATTTTTTATTTTCTTTTTATCTCGATCAAGAATCATATGTGTTTCTTGTAAGACTGAGAGATATAAAAAAATCAAATCGCACCATCTCTGTAATAGGTAAATGCCTTTTTTTCTCTTGAAGTTAACAGAATTATTCATAATAAGATGTTGGCTACAATTGAAAAGGTTTTATCAATAACATTTCCATTTATCCGTGATCTAGGCATAGGTAGCAATTCATTCTATCATTGTTCACATTACTTCTCGCGGGAAAATGATCCCACAAAGAAAAGAATCCTACTGTGATAACTGGGTCCTGGTTAACACCAAAGGTAATAAATACGTGATTATCTGATTAAATGATTATGTGATAGCATGATAAATTGCTATATTTAATCATGCTAGTATGTGAAAAATTATGTGCATAATATAGATGCATGTATGGAGGTATGTATATGTAGTAAGATAAAATGAAATGCATGGTACTTATGCATGAGCATACATGCATGGGAGATTTCTTTTGTAAGCATGCACATGCAGTACGACTCTAGTAGCCGACTTTCCCTAAAGAGAAAGTATAAAAGGAGGTTGAAGCCTCCATTCTCTTCTTCTTGCCTATTTTTTTAAAAGTTGTGCGATTTAAGGATAGAGGGAGTTGACCGGATTTCAAGTATCTGATTTCAAGAAGGTTGTATTCAAAAGGCTTTGTTAAGGTAAGTGATTTCTAAACCTTTTTGCATAAAACTTGTTACTAGTTTTATTTCAAAGTTATTTATTATTGGAAAGAAATCAGTTTATTGCTTAAGGGTTTTATCCGAACAAAGGCTGACCAGATTAAGTTTAATCGGACAAGGGTCGGGCGATTAAGCCCTAAATCGGTCAAGCGTTAAGCGGTTTAGTTTTAAACCGGTTAAGCTTTGAGCGAGTTCTAAATGATAAGAATGCTTAACATTTTGAACGGAGAAGTAGAATACGACTAAATGGTGACCTGATTATTTTAAATCGGCCAGGCCTTAGTCGATATATTGTCCAGACTTGTTATTCGGACAAAGTTATTGGAAATTATTCTAAGTGTTAAGCGATGAGTTGTCCGAATGTGGTAACCGGTCAAGTCAAGCCTAGGATGACCGGATTTGAGTTGTGCCTTGTGCTCGAATGATAGAAATTGTTATTTTATCATAAAATGGGAATTTTGATATTAATGATTTTGGATTAATAATAATTCCATTAACTACGGTCTATTTGGAATTGTGTTGTAAAATATTTTGATGAGGAGATAAGGGTAGCATATTAAGGACATGTGTTCCATGGGATAAGGGTGGCATATCAAGGAGAGGTGTACCATGGGATAAGGGTGGCATATCAAGGAGAGGTGTACATTTGATATAAGGGTGGCATTTGTACGTGTGTGGTGGGATATAACTCTTTCTATTATATCCCTTAAGACTACCGTGGTTTGTGTAACATCCATCTTCCTAATGCCCTTAATTATGTGTTGAAAATATTGACTTTTCGGGTATGGTTTTGAGCATTGGGTTCAAACAATGGAATCTTTTTATTGGAGCTTGTAGGTTATCTCGTTTCGGACGCGTAGGCGAAAACCTCATAAAAAATGGAGTCCCGAGCAAAAAGTTATGCATATTTTTTTTAGTGTTTAGGGGTCAAAACGGGTACCCAGCCGGGTCAACCCGACCCAACTCGAGATTTAAGTTGCAAATCATCAAATCAGCCCATTTTAACCCTGTTTTCTCTCAAAATCAGTCTCGGTGTTCTAAGGTGCGATTACACACACTTGGGAGTTAATCTATCCCTAAATCAAGTGTTTTATCAAGATTAATGAAGGATTTATAGAGAAATCAAAGGTAAAACTCATATTTATCCTTATTTGATGGCATGCATAGAGTTTGTGTCCTTGCATGTGATGATTTACAGATGAAATCATGAAATTAAGTTAGGACTAAGTGTTATTATTAGTTAGTATGTGAAATCCAAGGATGGATTGTAAGATTTCTTGAAATTGTGATGTTAGCTCAAGAACAAGTGTTGACTTTTAGGAGTCAATTTGAGATACAATGAAATAAGTAGAAATTGATGCTATAATCATGGTTTATCATTGATTTATTGTGGAATTTGGTAAAAATAAGTGAAACTATGAATTTGGAACTTATTGGGCTAGTATTGGTAATGTTTTGGAGGAAAATAGGTGTTTTGAGCATTTGATAGGATGATTACAGCCCTGTTTTTGGAAAATCATTGAAAATTTGAAACTAGGAATAAATAGGCCTTAGAAAGGTAAGAGAAAGGGCTACAAATTGTCTTTAGATCTGAATTGGTGATTTTGAGTTTTAAAAAGGGTAAAACAGCTCTGCTAGTTGAGTATTTATATTGAAATCCAAAGTAGAGTACCTTAATCGAAATAAGGTTTGAGTGAGTTCTTGTTGTGCTTCACTAATGAGACTTTGAATATATCTTTCAGGGCTTGTTTAAGCTTATATGGAAATCTTGGAGGTGGTTTTCCAACTTTGATTTGGAAATGAGATTCGACCACTCGGTTTGACATTCGGTTTAATTCAACCGAGTTCTATTGTGAGTTTACTTGGATATATGCCTATTATGTGCTCTATAGGTGCATGTGTTACCCATATTGTATTCATAATTGTTGTTTCATGGTTACTTTTATTCTATGCCTATATCACTCATTATATAGACAATATTTTCATGATAATTGAATCCTATAAACAAGGAAATAATCTTTATCGAAAACAGGATAAGTTTCACCCTTCAAGATTCTGGGGATAGACCAACCAGAGGATAGATCGACTAGAGCGGCTCTAGTCCTGAAGGACTTAGAGTCCAGAGGCTCTGGTCTATACAACGGGAGGCTTTGGTCGTCTAGAGAGGCTCTGGTCTATACAACCAGAGGGGTTCTGGTCTTGAAGGACTTAGAGACCAGAGGGACATTTCTATACAACCAGAGGGGCTCTGGTCTTGAAGGACTTAGAGWCCAGAGGGACATTTCTATACAACCAGAGGGGCTCTGGTCTTGAAGGACTTAGAGACCAAAGGGACATTTCTATACAACTAGAGGGGGTCTGGTCTTGAAGGACTTAGAGACCAGAGGGATATTTCTATACAACCAGTGGGGCTCTGGTCCTGAAGGACTAAGAGTGCAGAGGCTCTAGTTTTTACAACCAAAGGCTCTAGTCGTCCAGAGGGGCTCTGGTCGTCCAGAGGGGCTCTGGTCGTCCAGAGGGGCTCTGGTCGTCCAGAGGGGCTCTGGTCGTCCAGAGGGGCTCTGGTCGTTTTCCAGACTTAGTCATTTTAGCACAACAACATCTTCAGATCTTCCATCCTTGGTCCCAATTACTTGATAATACTTTTAGAATAATTAAGATCAATTTTGGTCCTAATATTGTTTATGTGTTGGGCGTCGGTTGTCGGATACCTTTGGATCTGGGTGAGACAACCGGAGGGGCTGTCCCTACTCATATGTCCAGGGATGGAGGATGGGTATTGCAGGAAGATGAGTAGAGGGTTTGTACACCATCCGAGAGTGGACGAATACAGATTGGTCAGTCACGCCTAATAATTGTCTATTGTTTTAGACTTAAATTGTTGGTTAATGTACTAATTGTGCATAGCGTGATTTTGATTATTGAAGTATTTGTATTATAAATTCATTTGATTGTCTTTTGTTGTTTCCTTGAAATTCTATTTCTCGTTAACACCTGCTTTTGATAAATATTGACTCTTATACTTCTAGATTTTCTTATAAATGTACTTACATGAGTCATAATGTGCATGATATCTATTTAAACTCACTAAGCATTGTTAGCTTATCCTTTTAGTGGTAAACCTTTCGAGAAAAGAAGCTAAGAGTAAAGGAAAAGTTGTAGATCGTTGATGGTACGTGTTGGAATCGAGGACCGTCATATTTTGGTATACGGTAGTCATGTTTTTGGATTGTATTTGTCACACTTTTCGGGTTGAAGTCTTTATTTTCCCGATGAATACTTTCGGCCCTTCAGATGTAAATGTTGATATAAAACTTATCTTTTGATGGTAAATATATATATATATGTTTCCCGTATTTCGTTGAGGTTGAACTTGAAATTTAGCTTAAGATCTATCTGTTAATTGTGGTTTGGTAACTGGTGTGTTACAAATATGGTATCAGAGCAATGGTTTTAAGTGAACTAGGTGCCAGAAATGGTATCTGGACTTAAACTTGGGCAATGAGATTGTATAGTAACTAAGTTTGATTTATACGGGATACGGACCATAGGAAAGATCTAAGTGGGTAAATGAGCATTTATTAGTATGTTGTTTAATATTTTAGGTTTTTCTTTGTCATTTCCAGAATGATGTTTGCTCATGATGATCATGCAAGTCATTCACCAACGAACCCGGATGTTGGTGGGCATAACCCGGATTTAAATGAGGGTGTCGAAACCTCACGCGTTCACTTGGAAACTGGTCTACTTTTCGAGGAGGATGCCCCTTTATCTCCTCGTGGTGAACGACTGATGAAGTGGGTTACCGATTTCCTGCGGCCAGTTCTTAATGAACATCGAAAGGAGGATATTGTGAAAGGGAAGTGGGTTGATACGAGTGCCATTTATCAACCTAAGTCCACCCAAACTTCGTTTAAAACATTCAAAACTAGTGGAGCAACTGAATTTAATGGGGTTTCAGATCCAATTGTAGCTATTGAATGGCTATTGAACGCAGAAAAAGTGTTTCGGATCTCCAAAGTCTTTGAAGAGGATAAGGTTAACTATGCGACCGCTATGTTTATGAGTAGTGCACTGATATGGTGGGAAGCAACTTACCATTCTCTGAATGAGGCTGAAAGAAATAATTTAACTTGGGAAGGTTTCAAAACCATTTTTCACGAACAATACTGTCCCCCTGACTTACTGAAACGGTTGGAGAAAGAGTTCATTGACCTTAAACAAGGAGATTTGACTGTGGTGCAGTATGAGACCCAGTTCAACATGAAGGCACGTTTTGCTTCACGTTTCATTACTTCTGAACAACACAAGATTGAACATTTT